TAGTAGTTGTGTAATTTGATACTTGATACATGGTTTGTAGTTTGATTTACACTCAAAACTTAATTGAACTACAATAGATATGTATTGATTTCTAATCATTCTCTTAGTTGTATGCATGAAATGGTAACTAATTATTTTTATTTATAAAGTCTACCAATATGCCTTCTGGGTGGTGTAAAAAAAAAGATGAAAAAAAAAATTTATTGTAAGTGAATAAACATGTTTATATAAGTTAACATTCTTCACAAATTAACATTTTTACAGTAAAAAAATATGTATCACATGTTTTTGTTATAATGTATTACATAGTATTCTTCTTAAAAAACTTTAAGAAAAACACGACACATTCAATAATCTTTTAACTACCAATAGAAATTGTTTTATATGATGGAACGTTGCTTGAAATGCCCCACACAGTTAACTACGTAATGTAACAGTTAACTATGTATTTTAATATATATACACATCAAGATCCAAAAGAGTCAGTATAATCCCTGTCAAGTTTCCAAAAAATGGTAAAGGGGGCTGTAAGGGTCACGAAAAAATACTTGGGAGTCTATAGAGGTTGTCGGGAAAAACTGCGATGTGTAAAGGTATGGGAAAAAATGAAGGGTTTTTACCTTATTTTGTAGGGGGCAGTGAGGTGGTAGGGGGTTGATGGGGGTTTGTGGAGGGGCTGTGGAGGGGTTGTGTAAAATGCTACACCGATATATCGACTGCTTAGAGGAAGACTATTCCAGGCTTAGGCATTCACAAGCACAATGGCAGCTCTATGTACAGCGAGCAAGACTATTCCAACTCAGTGCTGTAACGAAAAGAAATCCACCACGTTTTATTGCATCGAAGAGAATCCCTGAGCTCTGTAATGAGACGAAAACAATTCCAGCAAGCTGTGCTGCGTCGAAGACAATTCCTTCACGTCACTTGCGTCGAAGAAAATCCCTGAGCTCTATAATGAGACGAAAGCAATTCCAGCGAGCTGTGCTGCGTTGAAGACAATTCTTCCACGTCACTTGCGTCAAAGAGAATTCCCGTGCTCTGTACTGTGACGAACATAATTCCTCCATGCTAACTTGCAAACAAAATTATTTCTCTGCGCCATGCAGTGACAAAGAAAATCCCAGCGCCCTTTGATGTGACGAAGTACCACCATGCCATGCTGTGACGAAGGAAAGGCTGAGACTTTATTGAGAAAGTAACATAAAATAATCAAGTTAATATGCTAGCTGGTGAGTTCAAACATTTCTAACCCCAAGCTTCCCAAAAGTACGAGGCTGTCTGGGTTGACCTGTGTTAATCAACGAAGAATGAATAAACATACATAAATAATTCAATAATGTAATTTGGTAGTGAGTTAAAGAGGATGAATAAAAGAAAAGGAGTGACGTCACTTATGTAAGGCCACAAACATTTTCAAAACATAATATGGCCTTTGTAGCAATAATTAATACGTGCCATATAAAACCTCCTAAAAGATTTCAAAACTGTGAAAGACATAACATTGTGTTTAAGCTTATTATGAATGGGGCGAAGGTATCCTTAACCTCAAGTATTTCCACTAGATATTTCTGGTTTGCAGCTTTAAACCCTGCTCCCAAAAGAAAAATCTAAAACTTAGTAATTTTACATTTTGGCGACAATAGAAATATTTATATATTGTGTACTTTACACGGTATTAGTCCATTTTATCGGTAAGCGCATATTTATTTAGTAATTTTTCAGTGTTTTATGAGGTTGACAGAAGTGGAACATTTTAAATTTATTTTTTATAATAGTGTATAGAAATATTATATTTCTTACCGAGGGCGCAAAGTACCAAAGGTACGCCCAAAGGGCGGGGGTTTTGTATCTTTGTGCCAGAGGTGATAACGATATTTTTCGTCTCGTGGGCGCAAAGTAATTTTTTCGGCCCATGGGTTGACTTTGCGCCCAAGTGTGGAAATGTATTTCTCGCCCACGCGGGCGCAAATTACATTCCCACCCGTGGGTGCAAAGTCATTTCAGGGCTTTCTGTGCTGCGTCAAAGAGAATTCCTCCACGTCACTAGCGCCGAAGAGAATACTTGTGCTCTGTACTGCGACGAAAAAAATTCCTCCATGCTAACTTGCAATCAAAATTATTGCAGTGAAAAAGAAAATTCCAGCGCCCTTTGATGTGACTAAGTACCACCATGCCATGCTGTGACGAAGGAAACGCTGAGATTTTGTTGAGAAAGTAACATAAAATAATCAAGTTAATATGCTAGCTGGTAAGTTCAAACATTTCTAACCCCATGCTTCCCAAAATTACGAGGCTGTCTGGGTTGACCTGTGTTAATCATCTAAGGATAAATAGACATATAAACATATAAATAATCTAATTCGTTAGTAAATAAAGGAATTTAAGAAATTAAATCTCTATGAA